TAAGGGTTTCTTTTGCTATTTAGTCAGACATCGCTCTTTCTTTATTTCTGCTGGAAGCATCGTTCTCTGAGGGAGACTAAGGTCATTTTTTAACAAGGTACGAACACTGCGACCTCAACATCAGTGCCATTGTCAACGGGTGTGACCGAGGAAGCGTCTGCTGATGTTTCCATGGATAGAGGATANGAAACTATGTACGGCAGGGATGTATTAATGTCTTCAAGGCGGCTGCATTCGTGTCTTTCATATGCTGTCTACTTTAGAGAGGCACTTGTCTCTGAAGAAATGTACTCAGTCCGTGGAGAGACATTCCCTTATGACCTTAGCCAAAATGTGCGACAAACCCTGCTTGGAGCAAGCGTTGGCGCTTGACTCAAAGCCACAATAGGTCATCAAGAAGTCCTTGTTGCTTTAAAAGAGGGTTAGGCTTTCAGGGCAGTCAGTGACCAACAGAAATCGTATCTTATAGCAAAATTCCGCATTGGCGTAAAGAACCTGAAACTGCCTATGCTACGGTAATTTTGTCACAGCTATTTGAGGACCATGTTTTCATTCCTCTCATTCAGCTCGAACATACCATTTTATAAGCTTATAACAGAAGCTAGAAGCCAATTAAATGCATGGGTAGTACATTGCTAGGGTTTTTTTTCATCTTAACCCGAAAAAAATTTCAATATCAAGGCCGAGATTACATTGATGTAATTTTTGTTAGTTCCCAAATCACTGTATTATGGAAGATAAAAATACCGTAGATTTGCGATAATACATAGCTAATAAATCCAAATATCTTAGAGGAAACATATACCTCCAGTAAAAAAATATTAATTCTTAAATTGGATAATATCATAGGTGACAAAAAGGTAATCAAATGGTATTCTCGTGAAATAAGAAAAAAAAAATTCACTTACGTTTTTTCAAAAGTCTGATAATGTCACCAGTTGATTAGCCATATTTATAAAGGCCTCTACTGTCAGGGTGGTTTTATTTTTTTAGGTCGTACCAATGTTTCAAAGATTTTTGTTAATCGCCATATTTAGAGAGTTTAAACACATTATGTGCACCTATGATTGTATATTCCGACGTTACTCTGTAAGTTCCACTCAAATATGAACACACATTAATATGCCGCAGTAAAAGTTTGTATTTTATTATGTATCTGCTGTAGCTATCTCAGTTCGTTAATTTTTGTCTCATCAGAGGCCCCTCCTGCAGAAATGTTTGACGTTAAAGCCTGTCAGAGGAAACTTGCAGAGCATTATCTAAAAACAGCCAAGGTGCCCACAACTGCTTGGTCCTCAGTATTACAGGCGGATCTTGAACAGATCTACACTCGACTGTCATGGGTAAAACAAGAACAAACCTCAGCTGGGCCATCACAAAAGGAGAAAGAAGAGCAAACCACGGCTGGGTCATCACAAAAGGAGCTGAGCCATTACACTGAAATTTTCACTGACAAGACAAAGAACGGAGTTGAAGCAAAGAGAATTCTCGTGCAAGGAGAGACTGGGATTAGAAAAACGACTTTCGTTAAGAAGCTGCTTGTGGATTGGTCGAATCTTCAAGAGGCGAAGATGGATGAGGAACGGGAAGATGCATTGAGGAAGTTTGACCTCGTTCTTGCTGTTAATCTCAAAGAAGTATCCGACTGTCAGACGTTTGAAGAAGTGATAAGTCGCTCTCGGCTGTTTCCAAGAGATGAAGAAAAGTCAGTAGACGATCTGCTGTGTTACATTCGTGCAAATCAAGACAAAGTATTGCTTGTATTTGATGGCTATGACGAGTACCGCACCGGTAGCAAAGCAAAGGAAAGAAGCAAGTCTCCAATTTTCGAAATATTCCACGGGTATATTTTGAGACACTGTACTGTCTTGGTAACCACTCGATCTTCAAGAGCAGATGAGATACGCGGACTTGCCGACTTACAAGCCGAGATCACCGGATTTGATAAGTCTGATAGAAGGGACTTCATGAGAAAAATGCTGGATAGCCAAACAGAGGTGGATGGTCTATTGGAGTTCCTACGAGAGAGT